TTTTTAGTATGTTTTTGCGATTCTCGATTGATTCTAAAGTGAAAATTTCACGATTTCTCGGATAATTTGTCTACAAATATTGGACCACACTTAAAAAATAAATGAGAAAAAAATTGACAAGTGAAAGTATCCAGTGAACTAGGGGAAACTACTCGACAGGCAAAAAATAAATTMGGGGAAAATCGGGTCAAAAAATACCTAAAATATCAAGTTTTGTAATTTTTCCATTTTTTCCGAAATTCGAATAAATGTATTTTTAAAACGTCAAAAAATTTATAAAAATGTCAAAATCGACAAAAAATTGGACAAAATTCGAAATTTAAAGTTTTTTTAGTCTATTTTTGCGATTCTCAATTAATTCGAGACGATAAATGACCACTTGTCGAAATATTTGTACTAAGTAAAATAAATGAGAATTTAACGATTTCTCGGATTATTTGGACCACACTTAAAAATTTGTGACAAAAAATGTTCCATGTAAAAATATTCAATGAATGTGTTTTTAAACGTCAAAAAAATTATACAAATGTCAAATCAACAAAAAATTGGAAAGTTTCTGGGAAACTACTCGACAGGCAAAAAATAAATTCGGGGAAAATCGGGTCAAAATACGTAAAATGTCAAATTTTTATCGTTTTTCCAGTTTTTTCGAAATTTCTGTGATATTGTCAAAAAGGCAATGGTCTAAAAGACCATAAATTGGCTATTTTTACGATTTTACTACGGCTCACCTTGAAAAACTTAAAAAAAATCGTAATTTTTTAAACTTGATCCAATGTCGTTTTATGCACTTATTTGAGTCTTTAGGACATCTAGAAATGTAAAAAACGTTAAATGGATCAATTTTAAAGATTAATTTTTTTTTGTTTATTGTCGAGATTTTGGTCGATTTTTGGCACCCGGAGCGGTCTAATGGCAATAACTCCGGACTTATTGGTAATAACCTCTTATGTTTGGTACCGTTGGAAAGCAAATTTAATTTTCTATCATATAAAAAAAAGATCAGTGTTCTACGATAAATAGTTATCGAGAAAATTTGTGATAAAGTCAAAAGTATGGAAAATATAAATCCGACTATAACTTCAAAACTATTAGGAATTTTGCAGTTTCTTTGACGCCAATCGATTCCCCGGAACATTTTACATAGGTTTAGGTCAAAGTATTATATCATTGAGGCACAGTTTTGCCGCAATTTACAAAACAAAAAAAAGTAAAAATTTGTTAACACCCCCCTTAAAATCTAGTGTTTTTGAACATGTCTCAGATTCGATTTAAACCTATCTTATCCGATAGATTTTGACGCGCTGATTACGAATTTACCAACCACTTTGGGCTATCTCCTTTAGTTTCGCCGTAATGGGCGTTTAAAAATTCAAAATTTTTTTGCGAGATATCGACTTGGCTTTCGCCTCAGTCGATAGATTTTCTTACGCTGATTACGATGGAGTTTAAATTTTTGCTCTAAGTCTTATAGTTTGGCCGTAATCGCCGTTCAAAAAGTGAAAATTGTCAAAATTGTGAAACTTTAAACGCGTTTTTCTACGAAACTATAGAACTTAGAGCAAAGGGGTAAAAACCATTAAAGTTAGCTTAAAATTATCTATTTACTGGCGCAAACCGGAAGTCGCTCCGGGTTATGGTTCCGGGTACAGAGCCATTTTTAGTTTTTTCAAAAAAAAATTCATATCTCAAAAACTATGAGTCTTAGGTCAACAGGGTTTGTACAGGCGTGTTCTCCGGTTAATTTTACATATAGTACTAGTTTTTCATAAGAATAAAAAAWWTTTGATTTTTTTGGTCAAAATCGGATTTTTCTAGACTTATTYTTAAYTTTATTACTCAATATCTCAAAAACTATGCATCGTAGARTATTTTAACTTRTTGCATCGTGTTCAGCGMGTAATTTTACGTCTAGAAAACCATATTTCAAGCGTTTTTACGACTTTTACTAAATTGACTATTTTTACGATTTTACTACTGCTCATCTTCAAAAATTAAAAAAATTCAAAATTTTTGAAACTTGACCCAATGTCGTTTTATGCACTTATTTGAGTCCTTAAGACCTCTAGAAATGTAAAAAACGTTAAATGGATCAATTTTAAAGATAATTTTTTTTTTGATTTTTTTCTATAAAGTCAAAAATATCAAAAATATAAACTTCAAGACAACTGAGAAAATTTCTATTTTCCAATGGATAGACAAACTCGTATCATTAAGTACACCAAACCGACGATTAGTCATAAATATCACATTTGTATTAAAAGTGGTATTTTCACTTGAAGCGTAAAAATCGTATGAAAATTGACGAAAAATTCACCTGTTTTTTCCTGCACAATAAATGATACGTAAAGGAGTCATGTCAAAAAACAGCAACATGCCGAAGAAGAAAACAAACAAACAAAACAAAAAAAAAAATTGAAAAATATTTTTCTCACGTGCAAAAAAAGATGCAACCATGCAACAACGCCGCAATCGCCCCCTTCCCCCACTTACCGACATCCTCCTGTCTATAATTCTGTATAATCTCAGCCAACTCCATATTCCCAGCAATGACAGCGACTTGACACGGCGTTTGGTTCGCATAATTCAAGGCTTGTCGATCAGCCCCCCTAAACAGCAACTGTCTCGCACAAGACTCTTGATTATTAACAGCGCAAACATGCAATGGGGTATTCCCCGAGGCGTTTCTCGCGTTCATATCCGCCCCGTAGAAGAGCAAGTGTTCCAAATGTGGCATCATCCCCGTTTTGCAAGCCTGGTGCACCTCCTGCCACCCTTGCAGGTCCTGCGCCCCCGTGGTGGCGTGGTCGTGGAGGAGGGTTTCTGTGAATTGGGGGTCGGTGTTGTGGGTGATGGTGAGGTATAGGGGAGTGAGGCCTTTGCCGTCTTTGTAGTTGGGGGATGCGCCTAGTTCCAGGAGGGTTTTCATTGCTTCGAGACTTTTGTGGTCGACGGCACGGTGCATGGCGGTGGAGCCGTCTTTGGTGCGGTAGTCGAGAAGGGCGCCACCGTTCACGAGGGAGATTAGGACTTTTGAGGGCTTTTTTATGCCAGTTGCGAGCGTCAGGGGAGTTTCTGGAACGGGGGGAGAAAGTTGAGCAAAAATTAAATACATTTTTAAATATCACACAAAAAAGTCTTTTTAAAATGGTTATTGGGTTTCAAAAAAAAACAATTTCAGAGACTAAAAAACCAACAAGAAACATTTTTTTTTCATTTTCTAGGTTGCATAGAATTTGCAAATTTAGTGAAAAATCAGTAAAAAAATTTGAAACTTCTAGATTGCAAAAATAAAAAATGTCAGGACTTTTCAAAAAAAAGCTGATGTCTAAAAAATTATCCAATAAAACAAGAGCAACTTTAAAATGTAGCAAAAAACAATAAAAAAATTATTCCAATTCTTAAATTTGGTAAATTTTTAAATATCACCCAAAAAAATTCTTTAGACTTGTAATAAAAAAGAATACAAATAAATAAAAAAAAATAGTTATTGGGTTTCAATTTCAGAGACTAAAAAACCAACAGGTTGAATAGAATTTTACGAAAGAAATTTGCAAATTTAGTGAAAAATCAGTAAAAAAATTTCAAACTTCTAGATTGCAAAAAATTTWAAACGTCAAAAAAAGAAAGCTGAGGTCTAAAAAATTATCCAATAAAACAAGAGCAACTCTAAAATGTTTAAGTAGCAAAAAACAATAAAAAAATTATTGCAAAAAATTCTATAATTCTCAAATTTAGTAAGTTTTTAAATATCAAAAAAATTCTTTAGACTTGTAATAAAAACGAAAACAAATAAATAAAAATAAACAAGAAACTTTTTAAAATAGTTATTGGGTTTCAAAAAACAGTTTCAGAGACTAAAAAAAACAACAAGAAACACTATTTTTTTTAATTTTCAAGATTTAATAGAATTTTAAGAAAGAAATTTGCAAATTTAGTAAAAAATCAGTAAAAAATTTTCAAACTTCTAGATTGCAAAAAAGTTAAAATGTCAGGACTTTTCAGAAAAAGAAAGCTAAAAAATTATCCAATTATCCAAGAGCAATTTAAAAATGTTTAAATAGCAAAAAACTATAAAAAAATTAAAAAAAAAATTATTTAAT